ATTTGGCTCCCCTCACCACCCCTGCAGCATCCCTCAACACATGCCCCTTGGACACACCGACCTGGTTTGCACCCAGATCCCGTTTCCTCTGACGATTTACCTAAAGAGGTGGCACAAGTGCGGCCAGTTACTTCCTCTTCTCTGTTCATTGAGAACAGGTGAAGATTAGGTCTGCCAGCACAAAGATTTTCTAACAAACTGGAAATTCTCAGCGTGTTACCATTGCCTATGGCATTGTCAGCTTTCACCGTCCACCAAGAAAGCTCTAAAGAACCAAATCCTCACCCAATTACTGAACCCATAAAGCTGGGATAGGGTCAGGTTGTTTTATGGCCAATCTTAGGAATGGACAACATTTAAAAAAAAAATATTGCAATTACCCATTCGGGACTCTTCAGCCTCAATTATCCTCCGCACAGATTCTTGCATTAAACACACCTGATTGACAAAAATAAAGGTGAGAGTTAAAAGTATCGCAATAGAACGTAAACTAGTTGTTTTTTTTTGGTAAATACATGTAACGGGAGTGCTTAAAAGGAGAACTATGGGGTCAGTGTTTTTCCCCATAGTTCTTCTTAGGGTAACGAGAGGACACAAACTAGCGTCCTCCCGTGACCCAAAGCTCAGTATACCGCGAGCTACAGCTTGCGTTATACTGAGACGCCGAAGCGGATCCCGACGTAGATGACGGGATCCGCCCAGCTGCGTGAGTGACAGCTGGCTCTGCCTATCTAGAGGCAGAGCCAGCTGTACCCGCCCCCTCCCCCGTCCGTTCCGCCAGTCAGCGCTGGCAGATCGGAGCGGGGAGAGGGGAATCCAGCCCTCCCCCTGTCACGGCAGAGAGCCGTGACAGGATCGAGAGGTGAGCGAACCTGGTATGTGTTCGCTCACCTCCCGATCTACTGAGCCGACCTGTGACAGTCTCATTGTCACAGGTCGGCTAGAACTATGAGGTGAATGGAAATCACTCATCTCATAGTTCTCCTTTAAAGGGAACCTGCACCCATGAAGGTTCACCTAAATTTAAATCCTCCCCAGCAGTACATTCAAAGCTAAGAAAGGTCTATGGACTCCCTGTATAGCAGTGCCGAGTCACAAGCCCAAGTACTGGATATTCCCTTTGGCTCCCAAAACTAGCAAGTTTATTCCCAAAAGGGTGAAGAGTTTGGAGGAGTCAGAAGAAGGGAACAATCTAGATTCTAGGACAATATAGCGGATTTGGAAAAGATCTCCAATTCAGCTCACTTTCCAGTTCAGCGATGTTGTCCTAGATTGTTCCCTTCTCCTGCCTTCTCCAAACTCTTCACTCTTTAGTGAATAACCCTGTAATGATGGAGGAGTGAAGAAAAACGATGTAGAGGAGGAGAATGTGACTGACTCCATGTAACAGCCATAGGCTGAAGTCTAATAAGTAAATCCCCCCCATGCCCAAACAATACCCCCTCTAGCTCCTCGCCCCCAGTAATGTCAATTTTTTAAAAAGCCCATATACTTATTGAAACTGGTGATCATATGATGTGCTGGGACCGGAGTCTTCTTTCTTCTAAATTGAAAAGTGGGAGGGGGTCCTTCTTTGGGTGCCCACGTCGCTGCCTGGTGGCATGAACACTATCCATTGGATCCATCGGTGGGGTCCTCACAGGGTCCTAAAGACTACAGTGGCGGTGAATTCAGGTGACCTAAAAAGGGCTTAGGTTGTCTTACGATGGTTCTTGTCCACTTGGGCACGCGGTGGGAGGTATGGAAAGGGGGTTTCCAATTTTGTCTGTACATGGGCTTCAACTCTTTCCTCAAGAACCTTTAAAAAAATCTACTCCCAGTAATGCAGAACTTACAGATAAAGAACTCTCTAATAACACATTCATACGTGTAAATAAATGGCGGTTATACGCCGACTTTAGGCCCGTTTTCATTTAGGATTTAGTCCCACTATAAACACAGGAAAAGCTATTAATGAGCTGTATTTAAAGCGCCGGGCACTATGCAATAAAGTAGCAAAATTATAATGGCAAGCCGGATGACAGGTTCTCTTTAATGCGCTCCCCTGGCTTCTTTTATCACTGAAATATTTACATAGTAAAAGGATTATGTAAATGAAATACTCACGGCCGCCTCTGCCTCTTGCTTCTTCTGTAATATATCTGACGCAGAGCTTTCCCGATGCTTCTCCAGCTCCCTAATAATTAAGACATAAATACGAGGAGACTTTTACCTGGGAGATCAGGCTGCCCATTGCAAATCACTGAAAGTTCTACGGCAACCTCCTCAAAAGGCCCAAAGAATAAATAAGCATGCCTCCTATTAAACCCAACTCCAGCTTTAATGCACCCCCTCCACCCCCAACATTTATTGTTTAATCTCTGAATATACAGGATTTGCAGGGATCCAGTCACAGGGCATCACGGGGTCCTCTTCATCTGGGGGTGGGCAGTACTGAATGCTGCAGACATTGGCACACAGGACATGAGTTGGGTTCAACACAGGAGTACTGTGAGCCCAGGCAGGCTTTGTGATGCAACCCAGGAGGCACGTCTCCATGATTCCCGGGGATCCAAGGAATTAAGTTGAATGATATTGGGTATTATTTAGCATGGAAGAGGACCTCAGAGCGGTGAGTCAGAGTCAGTACCAGAGAGGAGGTGGCTATTGCAGTAGAAGCCTCTCCCGGCAGTAACATGTCAAGAATGCCAGCCTTCTAATCTCTATTGTAAGCACAGAACAGGAGAGAGGGCAGAGATGAGCTGCAGAGACTTGAACGACTACAGTGCTTCTCTTTGAGAATGAATTGCTCCACAGTACCTACAGCTACAGAGGCCAGCAAGGGCTTGTTTTACATTTTCTTTATTGCTTGTTAACAATATGTAAATGTTTGAATGTCCATTGCCTGGCCATACTCTTAAAGAGATACAGGCAAATACAAGGGACATGTGTTTTCTCACTTAATTTCTTTCCTTTATGTATTTGTTAATCTACCATGAAACACATCCTGGATCTGTGCAGGAGTCTTCTGAGATAAAGACCGGTCACTGCAGCTCTCTCCTTGTGCAGGGTGACTGGTCTCGTCTCTGCCCCCTCCTGTAATGAAGACCGGTCACTGCAGCTCTCTCCGTGTGCAGGGTGACTGGTCCTGTATCCACCCCCTCCTGTAATTTTCTGCCGGCAGCCTGTAGCAGGACGACCAGATGAGTCCCTCCCACAGCTCTGCGCGCCGCACATACTAAGTGCAGTAGGGCAATGATGTCTCTACTACTATTACGAGTTAATACTGAGGCTTGTGAAGACATCTGGTACACACAAAGTGGATTTGTATCCTTTGTGGCTATTGAGGAATATATTTAAATTTGAGTTTTTGTGCCTGGAGTTCAGCTTTAATAATTTGGAAGCTAACACACAAATATTTGCATCAGCTACATGTTTTTGGCTGGAGTTCAACTTTAAGACAGGTTTGGATAAATGTGTGGTTAAAAACAGACCGTCTGGCCGCTTCCCCTCCTCCAGAGCAGGCCGTCATATCAAATCTGCAAATCTCATTTGTTTTCAGGCCGATACACCGACGCAACACTTTACGTAAAATGATTTGGCCGGTTCGATAACAAATAACCGATGCATCAAAGCCTGATCCATGAGATGCGCCCGGTGCCTGTCTGGCTGAGTTATACGCAGGATGGCTGCAATGTACTCACTTCTCCTTCTGTGCCTTGAGGTACGGCTTGATAATAAGCCGGTGCATGGCCACAAAGATAACGAGGGGCCCTATGGTAGCATAAAACACGGCGCTGGGAAGGAGCTGATCCGTCAGGTGGATAGGGAAGAAATATGTCTGACTGGCTCTATTCAACCTGGAACAAAGAAGAAGAACAATAGATTAATGCAAGGAGAAAGCTGGCGGCCAGGCGAGGAAAAACCCATCATTTATACATGCTGGATCTCATCTGACCCCGGAGTGCATCACTTGACACATCTATTATCTCCCGGCTTGTGATATGCCGCCATGTAATAAGCAGCCGCTGGCCGGCCCGCACAACAAGACTGTTCATTTCATGCTGCTGGTCAGTCCGAGGAGTGGGCTTTTTAATTGAGAGTAAGGCCTGGAGTAAGCAGAACTGTTCATTGCTGCAAACTCTTTAAAAGCAAACCTCTACTTTGACCATCCCGGGCACAACAACAAGCTTGCTTTAATCCCCCTCCCCCCCCCCCATCCCCAAAAGCATATACTTACCTTTCTTTCACTACACCGTTGCTGAAGAAAATACTTGATACTTCCAGGTATGAAGGAGCATGTGCCCCAGTTCATGTGACAACACGGGGCCAATCAGCGTTATAACAGGGGAGTCCATAACCCCCGTGTCAGCGACTTGTCGCTTACCCAGGGCTTTCCTTTCACTCCTGGCAGCTGAACAAAAAGGAAGGTATATGCTGCTGGGGAGGGCTGCATTAAAGTGAACCTGTTACCAATGGAGGGCAAAGCACAGATTCACTTTAATAATAATAAAAAACATTGCCAGTTCACAGCACAGTTTGTGTCCGTCAGTCTGAACTATTATTGTGTTATTTACTTTATTGTGTTATAAGTCCTCAGGGGCAGGGCCCTCCTTACCATCTTGTCTTGAATTGTATTGTGATTGTAATGTCTTCCTTATATTGTAAATCGCTGCGCAAACTGTTGGCGCTATATAAATCCTGTATAATAATAATAATTTACTTTATTTTTGTTTAAGATAGAGTACAAAAGTATTACAACTAGGGACGAGCCGATACCAAGTATTTGGACGAGTACTTGCAAGCACCCAAATGCTCCAATACTTACCTTCGATACCGGAACATTCCGTCAGAGGGAGAATTCCTCTGACCGGCAGTGCCGCGAGGGAACACGGAGCAGGCTTCATGATCAAACAGAAAGCCAGGTAGCGGATAATGACTCGCCGCCCGGCTTCTTGATTGGCCGGGAAGCCAGCTTCCCAGCCATAAGCATCGAGTCGGCAGAATAGCAGGGAGCTGGCTTCATGCTGATTGGCCAGGAAGCCGTGTTCCCGGCCAATCAGCTTCCTCAATACTAATTGGCTTGGAAGCCAGCTTCCTGGCCAATCAGGAAGCCGGGCGGCGGGTACCGGTATCAGCTATTCCCATCAGATAAATAGCAGTACTCGAACTCGATACCGAAAAATGGTATCATTGCATCCCTAATTAAAACCCCTGTCATGTTTTTACTACTAACCAGGGCTTGTCATAGTGACAGTCATATGAAATCTGCTTCAGGGACAAAGAAATAAAAATACTAAGTGAAAATAATGTTGAGCACCACACAGTGATAATTACAGGGTTATTTCAAAGATAGATTGTTTGCAAATCCAATGGGCTCTGGGGGCTGTAGCTCTGCCCTCTGTAAACGGCCTAACATGTAATACAAAGGATCAAAAGTAACACAAAATTCCTGTATATAAATCAGTGTCACAACTTTTTTTCTACTCCTTGTTTCTCTTTTGTGTTCCGTTATATGTAAACCCTGATAAGCCTCCAAAACGTGTTGGCTTTGCAAACAAGCGATCACTGGAATGGACCTGTATGTCCATGGATGGACCTGATATAAATTGGCTGATTAACTAAATGGAATTGTAAATGTTTACACAATAAATCGCAAATGCAATTGCAAATGGAAAAAGTAAAACAGGGATTTTCTTTTTACACGATTGGAAAACTGATCCTCTACATCAGGGGTGCCCATTAGGTAGATCGTGATCTACCAGTAGCTCTCAAAGCTGATGCTGGTAGATCAGGAAGAGTGTGAATGGCGGCCCCTTTATTCCAGTTTGGTATATTTATTTCGCTGTGCACACATGATTACCTATTAGCCCAAGTCTGCTGAGCCAAGCTCCCTGACACCTTTCTGGTGGATACTGGTGGTTGAAGTGCTATGTATTACATCAAAGAATATTAGTTTACACAGCCTGTTGCAAAATACAGCAAGGTGAGTCAGGAGAGAGAGCAAGGAGAGAGAGCCAGGAGAGAGAGCCAGGAGAGAGAGCCAGGAGAGAGCCAGGAGAGCCAGGGGAGAGAGCAAGGAGAGAAAATGAGGAATGTCAGCCAGGAGAGAAAATGAGGAATGACAGCCAGGAGAGAAAATGAGGAATGACAGCCAGGAGAGACAGCGCCAGGAGGATGAGCAAGGAGAGACAGCCAGGAGGATGAGCAAGGAGAGACAGCCAGGAGAGAGAGAGCAAGGGAGGTTTTTTTTCGTTGGTAGATCTCATGTAGCTCGTCATTTGAAAAGTAGATCTCAACACCACAAATTGTGGGCACCCCTGGTCTACATGCTGCCACAGAAATTGGAATGGCAACATGAAGCTTTGCCACTTTGCAGCATCTGCCACACATACTGACATGCAAATACACCTCGTAATGATAGATTTGGGCAGTGTTAATTCACAAAAGAGAAAACTGATGAAGACTTACTTGACCTTTAGAGACACCCCTTGTGGCACACCAATACTGACAGTAGCTCCTAACACGCTGTGTCTGGAAATTTTCCTCTCTGCTCCATACTCAACCAAGGTCCCGAAAAACCCAGCCCTAAAAAAAAAGGAAGAAAAACTCATGTTAAGCCAACTCTGCCCAAACTGGTGAAGCAGAGGCAAGGTGAATATCAGCGGGTCAAGGGGGCCCCTTTGCAAAGACACTGTCACTTAACTCTCAATGGGCAAGGTGACAGCGTCCCTTTGAATACAGTCATGCTACAGCACATTCCACCAGATGAACCTGACTTGGCCTAAACGGTTTCTAAGGTGCACTTTGTGGTGTCTGCAAGTACCAGTGTTTGTCTTAAGACTGATCCCTGTGTCCCACTGGGGCCCTCTGGAATCCTAGGCCCAGGCTGTAAACGCGGTCCTACCTCCTACTATCGTGTAGCCAAGCCCCATACCAATAAAATGGAAGAAATTCACATCTTAGGAAGAAGCTGAGGCTTTATATGCCTAGTGCCAAGAGGCCTCCACTGGGATTGATTTATAGACCAACACAAGGAACTTCTCGGCACAAGGTTCCTCATTTCATCACCTTAAAAAGATTTTAGGCCAGGTCAGGTTCACTTCATTCATTACTTTGATAACATATGTGACACACTGGTGGTTGGGGTATACTGGACTAAGTATAACTTCATGAATATAAACATATTATTAGCATAGGTAATTAATGTGTAGCAAAGTAAATCCTTCATAGAACAGAAGGTATTTACATGTCTCATTACATCACATATCCCCAAAATAAGACTTGCAAATCATTCCTTTACGCCCCATCAGTCAGATAGATGTACATTCAGAACCTCTGGTGTATAGAGTAAGTATAGCCTAATAATAGAGAGCCATTTATTCCAAACTGCATACAGATATATGAGGCCATCATCAGTGCAGTGTATGGAAACCATGTCTTCTATGGAGTGGGGTTTAGGACCCAACAAGACAGAACAATCATACAGGTCATGGTGAGAAGGGACTAAACGAATCTTAAAGCCCTCTGAGTCAGTTTGTAGTACAGTGAAATCATAACCAGTATGGGTTCACTGCATGTTAATTAAAACAACATAAATCATATCTAGCCATTAAAGGATACACCCCCCCCCGTTAGTGTAGGGACCTTAAATCATGCCTCTTAATCCGATCATCTTCTTCTTTCCTGTAGTTTTCAGATGTCCCTCCAGCGCTGGTGCGGATCTCTGATCCAGTGCTGACTCCTCTGTCCTAACTGGCACTTCCTATCCCACGGTGTCTCTGCTCCATAGACTTACCTTGTGTGTCTCCTCATCTCCCAGCCGAACATCTGAACTGCACATGCGCCCGCCCCTAGATCGTTTGCGGCCCGCCCGAGGCTTTTCAGATGTTCGGATGGGAACACGCGGCAAAGTCACAGGTAAGTTTAAACCTGTTTGAAAAGGTATTTTTTCAAAAGTTTTTGCATATATCTACTGCTTGCTAACTGTAGATATATGCAAAAACATGCTGAAGGTTTAATAATCCTAAAAAAAGATGTTAAAAGATTGCTTTTTGGTCCTCACCTGTGAATAGACAGTAAAGTAATTGCTGCTCACTGAACTCTGTGCTCTCCCCTCCTGCGGGTATCTTTATGGTGCTAGACTGACAGCATTGTGCAAAGCAATAGAGCCCTGATGGGTTCAGAATGCTAATCCTCCCCTTCCCAAGGCTGTTTCCAGGAGCTTATAGGAAGCCAATATAAAAACTTATTTATCCCAGACTACTGAATGCATAACTTAAAAGTATATGTAGAGTATAGAAGAGTATAATCCCATTAGGTTATTTTCTTGCTGTCTGTTCTGCTGGGGAGATATCTCTTCTCTTCCTATCCCGGAGCTGCAACAGGAATCTTCCCAAAAGTGAAGGGAATTTCCAAATCAGACCACTGCCTCTGTGCAGGAGCTTCCTGTAATAAAGACCACTCATTGCTCTCTCTCTCCCTGTGCAGGGTGACAGGTCTTGTCTCCGCCCCACCTGTAATAAAGACCGCTCACTGCTGATCTCCCTCCATGCGCGGGGTGGCTGGTCTTGTCTCTACCCCCTCCTGTAATGCAGACCGGTCACTGCTGATCTCCCTCCATGCGCAGGGTGGCTGGTCTCGTCTCCACAACCTCCTGTAATGCAGACCGGTCACTGCTGATCTCCCTCCATGCGCAGGGTGGCTGGTCTCGTCTCCACAACCTCCTGTAATGCAGACCGGTCACTGCTGATCTCCCTCCATGTGCAGCGTGACTGGTCTTGTCTCTACCCCTCCTGTAGTTTTCAGCAGTCTGTAGTGGGTGGGGTTTGCTGTGTCCCTCCCACAGCTCTGCAAAGGCTATGCACAGCACAGTGATGTCACAGTTACTTTTACAAGGCAATAATTAGCTTTGCTAAGGTATTAGGGGAACACAAAATGGATTTATATCCTTTGTGGCTATTGAGGAATAGATATAAAGCTTTTGTGCCCAGAGTTCAGCTTTAAAAGCATCATTTTTAGTCGAGTTATTTGCAGGGAGAGTCATGTCAAGCATGAGTGACATCCAGAACATCTGAAGAAACTTCATCAATTCCATATAGCTTTGCCTTTTGGGTCAGGTGATCCCCTCTAAATGCCCCCAATCCCTCAGAGCTCTGCAGGTTGAAGACGCAGTGTCCCAGGAGTCCGTGGCACCTGCTTGCTCTGCTCACCCTTCTGACACCGAGAGGATTAAACAACAAATGAATCAATATGGTGTAGAGAGAAAATAATCAGAGCGCTATTAGTGGATCACCACAGGGTTAATCCTAATTGGATTGCAATAGGCTCATAATTCACTGTCAGAACATCGACCTGCTGTACGGGGCGAGCAAAGCAATGGGGGACACATTCTCGTCTTCTCAGCCTTGACATGGTGTGATGAAGTGAGCGGTTTGATAGCACACTGCGAGCAAGGACTAATCCCTAGATGTCATGCTCATTCACTGCGGGTACGCCACTTCGAGGATAATGCCCGTTTGAATCTCGTATATCTGGCTTAACTACAGCAATGAAAGCTGGATAAATAAAAGGTCAGGAAATGCCATGTAACAAGGACGGGGGATAGATACTCTATATTACAGATAAATCAGAAGTCTGCTTTATTTCCACGTCGGGGGGAATGCAAGGCTGGCCGCAGGAACGGCGACTTGTGGGCTAGCCTATGAAAGTGGTAAAATGACATTTTGCAAACAGCAACCAATCAGATTTTAGCTAAAATGTTCCTTCTACAGGAATGAAGTAAACGATTGGCAGCTATGAGCACAGCAGACACGTCTCACTTAATACCATCGCAGGCATGAGGCTCAGAAAATCAAACCTAATATTGGTTGCTCTGGCATTTGATAGACAAACAGAATTTGGCCCCACACATCCCAGTCGACAAGGACCAGGCAACCTCACCACTCCAGCTGTTTTGGAACTACAAGTCCCATGAGGCATTGCAAGACTGACAGCCACAGGCATGACTCCCAGATGCATGATGGAATTAGTAGCTTCACCACAGCCAGTGGGCAAACCTCACCACCCCAGCTGTTGTGGAACTACAAGTCCCATGAGGCATTGCAAGACTGACAGCCACAGTCTTGACTACCAGATGCATGATGGAATTTGTAGTGTCACCGCAGCTGGAGTGCCAAGGTTGCTTACCCCTGCTGTACACTAACCGTACCTCCTAATGTGGTAACCTAAACCAGAAGTCAGCTTGCATTCTAAGTTTATGCTAACAGGTCTCGGGGATCCCCAAAGCCCCGGCACAGATACATATAAAATATAAAAAAAATACAATTCCGTGATTGATCCCTGAACTACATCTCACCCCGGGCAAAACTATCGGCCAATCAAAATAAACCAAACATATGGACAGGCATTTGAATGGGTCATTTATTTATAGAGACGGGATCCCTATACAAGGTATAGGTTTACTTTACAGCTGAACTGCAGGGTAAAAGCTAAATACACATATGAAATACATAGAGAGTGCTTACAGCTGCCGAATGATTGGTATTTCTGTTTATCAAGTCCTGAGATTAACACAGAAGTACTGCACAGCAGGGCAGAGGACCTGATTTTTCCCCTGCTGCAGTTAAGCCACATTCACAGGTCTTGTCCCTCCTCCAACCTGTGACTGGACAATGAAAGGAGAAGCAGCAGACTGATGAGCTCATTTTCCAGTCACTCTGATCTGAGCACTGCTGTATAGGGGAATTGCAAAAGGTTGCTATCAATTTAAATTCAGGTACTTACACAGCGCAATACAAAAAATCTTATGCATTTAATACAGAGATGCAATCATTTGTGTCTATTAGAACTGTCTGCAGATCAGGTTTAAAGGAAAATGTAACCTGCAGCTCTAAAACATTTTTTTGTGCACTGTAGTACCTCTCACCAACCCTGTCACTTTAGGACACCGCAGTGAGTTAGGGGTTCGGCTAGAGGAACCAGACTGTGCAGCGAGGTACACACTTATCCAACACACCCAGACTTGTGAAGTTGCTGCAACTCATGAAGAGAGCAAATGTTATTCTAGAAGACCGCCATAAAGGCGAGTTGTATTCTTCTCTTTCCGCGTGATTCTGCTTCAAAGTCTGCCAGCAAGTGACCGGCTCACTTTAAATGCAAGACAACACTGTTAAAAAGAGAATATGGTGCTGGGAATTTTGGCTTAATGCACTAGATCGACATACTCCGGCCCTCCAGCTGTGATGAAACTTCAAATCCCATCATCCTTCTGCCTCTGAATGTCAGAGTCTTGCAATGCCTCATGGGACTTGAAGTTGTATCACAGCTGGAGGGCCGGAGCTTGCCAACCCTTGCACTAGGTCCTTCGCTCAACGCCTGCTGTGGACATTCGGTTTTTCTCCACATTTATGTGCGCTCTCTCAAAGTTCTCCCATGCCTTTATAAAAATGAAAAAACATACCAATAGCCTTGACTTACATCCAAAACTGGCCCTACAGTGTGTACAGATGTGGTAAGGGCATTACCCTGTAAGCGTCTAATGAGCGTGGTGTATGGAATTCGGCGGCATACTGTACAGTGAAGAAGGAAGCCGGATGTCTGAGGAGCGTCACACTTACTTTATGGATCCTTTGACTCGTGTCTGCTCTTCATCTTGAAATTTGTGCTGGTAGCTGACCATTACAAAGGAGTGCGGGATTCCAAGCTGAAAACAAAATACTAAATTACTTAACTCAATCTTTTCAAATGTAACTTGAGGTGAACAAAACACTTTAGATGCGTCAAACCTCACATGGACATACAGTGTATACCTATTCTGGGGTGTTCCTGACATTCTCTGAAATTGTGGTTCCTTTCAGTCTTAAAAGGACATTGTTACTTTACTCATTAAGGGAAATATAAAGTTCCTCTTGATAACTTCCCTGACCCAAGCAAGGTATACTTAACCATCCACGCTCCCTTGCCACCTCCACAAACCATTGGAGCCCTTGCTCAGCTGTTCTAGTGGAGTGGGTCTTCCAGGTATGGGGGGAGCATGTGACAGCTCGTGCCTATGTAGGAAATTGCCTGGCGCGAATACTGTTATATAGGAGGGGCAGCAATGCCATCCTGGAAAGCTCCAATATCAGAGTGTACGCTGTATGGATTCCTGCAGTGGAGAGGTGGCAAATGAACATGGGAGGTTTGCATATACCTTGCTGGGTGTGTGGACTATCAGTGGACAATGTTGAAGGCCACGTGAACACCTTCAGCTTGTTGGCGTGTTCCTCAAACCATTCTTGAACCATTTTTGCAGTGTGGCAGGGCACATTATCCTGCTGAAAGAGGGCACTGCCACTAGGGAATACCGTTTCCATGAAGGGGCGTACTTGGTCAGCAACAATGTTTAGGTGGGTGGTACGTGTCAAAGTAACATCCACATGAATGGCAGAACCCAAGGCTTCCCAGCAGAACATTGCCCAAAGCAACACACTGCCTCTGCCTTCTTCCTATAGTGCATCTTGGCACCATCTCTTCCCCAGGTAAGCGACACACACGCACCCAGCCATCCACATGATGTAAAAGAAAATGTCATTCATCAGACCAGGACACCTTCTTTCATTGCTCCGTGGTTAAGTTCTAATGCCCCCTGCCCATTGTATGCGCTTCTGGTAGTGGACACGGGTCAACATGGTCACCCTGACCAGTCTGCGACTATGCAGCCCCATACGCAAAAAAATGTGATGTACGGTGTGTTCAGACACCTTTCTATCGGAACCAGCATTAACTTTTCAGCAATCCGAGTAGCTATTTTGCATCGGACTACATGGGCCAGCCTTTGCTCCCCACGTGCGTCAATGAGACTTGGCCACCCATGACCCTGTCGTCAGTTCACCTTCCTTGGACCACTTTTGATAGGTAGTGGCCACTGCAGTCCGGGAACATCCCACAAGAGATGCAGTTTTGGAGTTGCTCTGACCCAGTGGTTCAGCCATCACAATTTGGCTCCTGTCAAAGTCACTCAAATGCTTATGCTCGCCCATATTCTTTGCTTCCAGCACATCAACGTCAGGGACAAAATGTTCACTTGCTGCCTGATATATCTCACCCACCTCCAGGTACCATTGTAATGAGATAATCAATGTTATTCACGTCACCTCTCAGTGGTCAGAATGTTACAGTATGTCCGATTGGTGTATACACTGATCAGCATACCTTCAGAGGCTAGTGGAGTCCATGCCTTGACGGGTCAGGGCTGTTTTGGTGGCAAAATGGGACCTACTTTATATTAGGTAGGTGGTTATAATGTTATTGCTGATCGATATATATATACACACACACACACTGAGTGGCCATATTATTATGACCACCTGACGTTTGTAGGTAAATTAGCTATAATTTTGGGCTGAAGTTGCTAGAGGGCCAGCCCATTATAAATAGGGAAGCAGGTTGTTTACCACGACAGTAGAAGTGATTTGTTTCTGAAGATACGGGGAAACAACGCGATTTAACAGCCTTTAAACGTGGGATGATTGTTGGCGCTCGGAGCCATGGAGCGAGTATCAGCAAAACAGCAGAATTCGATAAATGTTCAAGAGCAGCTGTTGTTAAAGTGTTTAAAGACTGGACTGTCAGCCGAAAATCTGGGTCTGAATGTGCGAATATCTGAAAGCAAAGGGTCAATAAACCTAAAAATCCCCTTTTAAGGGCCGATTATGGCTCTGACTTGTTCCAATCTGGCAGTCTCCCTTTAACAGCTAAGTGTATCAGTAACTCTTCCACGTAAAAGAAGCTTATATCTCCGATTTAGTGGATCTTTTAAAACAGCCCCTAGCTAGGAACCATTTAGCAGTGAAACGAAGCACTGAAACCTCTGGCGGACATCTGTGCGGAGCAGTCTGCATTAGGTATTTTTAATGTAGTGCACTTCTGTATTTATGGTTCTGCAAAAGCTATGCATCAGCCAAAAGAGCCCAAAAAGGCGTCGTAAAAAGTACATTTATTAAAAAGTATAATTGAATGGCATAAAACATTCATAGAATGGTTATAGTGATTTGGGTTTTAATGATGCCCGGCCTAGAGAATTCAGCTTAAGTGGAGTGGAACGGGCTCTGAAAGACAAAATTCAGTGTGGAATGAACATCGCGGGTGTTTCCTGAAAGCCTCCAGCAAGTCACGGATGTTACGTACGGGCGAGACACAAACTTTTCTGTGGCAGAATGAGCGATTAAGTGGTAATTTACTGATGCGGGATCTATAGGTTTATTGTAAGGGGCATTTTAAAGAATTCTGCTGATCCGGAGTCTCGGCATCCAGAAAATAATCAAATCAAATATGCGCTGAACGCTTTTTACTTCAATCTGAGCATTAAACATAAAGGCCAAGATCGCTTCTTGAATATTTTGTTACTGTGTATTTAGAGTTAGTTATGGACCGTGTGCATTCATTTAAAAGGTCAACTGCAGGCAAATCAGCTAAACAAACAGTACATCAAATACATACATGGGAACCATTTTATCTGCAAAAAGATTTTTTTTAATTCTGTTCAGCCGCTATTGTGATACCTGAACGGCAAGACAGCTTGGTCAGACCACACATCCAGCCTACTGACTGGACAATGAAAGTACAGCAGCACAATAATGGGGTCATCGATTTGCTAAATTGGCTCTTTCCTCCTGTTAGCATGTTCCCTGTCAACACATGCATGCAGCAAAGCCTGTGTCTTGTCATCAATTCAGGTGCTTACATTACATTGAAAAATATATTTCATGGTTTTGCAATAAATACTTAAATTCTGGTATGCCAAAAAATTAAGGCCTTCAACTTTAGGGGGCTATTTACAGTGAAGAGTGGATACTGCTTATCCATTGGACACCAAAATCCTTATTCCAACACCATGGCCTGCATTTTCCATCCTATTTATAAAATGCAAACTGCAGTGTGGAGCCTTCAGGGTCCCATGGACTTCTCTCTGGTTTTTCCTGCGGAAAGGCCTTCATGATTGGAGGAGAGGACAGTCACATGACTTTGACAAGTCATGCTTTCCTCCTCCTGGATTTTCTTTTCTCTCTCTGAAGCTGCTGGATGTGCAATCATCATTTTGTCAATTTAGAATGAAACTCCAGCCACACAGCGACATACTGCACATAAAAGGGAGCTTTTTTGCCTGCCAAAGCATTTGTATTTCTGTCCGTTGAGTTCAGAGAACTTTTAGCGCATTCTGTGTTATTAATATCCTCGGTACCTTTAACCAGTTGACATCCGCGGTGTTAAACCCCCTTCCCATCCAGGCCATTTTTCAGTATTCAGCGCTGCGGTACTTTGACATTTATTCCGTCATGCAGCGCTGCACTGAAATGAATTGTATACCCTTTTTTGGGGAGGGCTATGGAGCCGCTAATCGCCTATATGTGAAACACACCCGGTAACGGGTGTGTGCAATGGTCGGGCCTTTTCTGCCCATGCGTGCCCGCTAGGGGGCGCGCGCGAGCAGAAAAAAACTGCCGTCTGGAGACGGCAACCCGCCACTGCTGCAGTGCCGTCCGTCCGTTTTTTACTAAGGGCAAGCGGCAAGTGGTTAAAGGAGACGTACTGGTAGAGTAAAAAGTACGCTTACCAATACTTAGAGCCGGTGTGCGACACTGCAGGTATCACATGCCAGCTCTATAGATCGGGCTAGGTGATCACGGATTGATGATCCTTCAGCTCACTGTCTTTTCCCTTCAGAGAGCGGTGACCGTCAGTCACCGATCATCTCCCTGACCTCTCTATTCCTCCAGCGCTCACTGGAGGGAGAAACAAGGGATGGGGTGGGCCCAGCTGGCTCTGGATCTAGAGAGGCAGACTCAGCTGTCAATCAGGCCGCGGGGTGGATAATGACAATATTCTCGGGATCTTTCCCGGCTCTGCACTGTCAAAAAGCGGGCAACCCGCCATCTGCTGACTTTGGGTCACAGGAGAACATTAGTAAATGTACACCTTTGACCCAAAAGAAGACCAAAGCCAAAAAAAATAAGTTTCTTTTATTTAAGATCTGGCCTTCATAAGTGGCCAAGACTTCATTTCATCAGTGTTAGATCAGGGAACTCGAATGACTGCATGAAAAACGGACAGCCACTAGAGGGAGACGCTACAAAACTGAATAGGGATTGTAGATCGGCAGTTGGGTTTTGCTTCAGATTTTTAAGGACTTGGAGCTCAGTGTTTATGTTCCTTTTTAAAGCTGGCCATACACCTATAGATTATGTCCAGACTTTCTATGGTCAGATGGAAAAAGTGCAACAGATTCCTCCATCTACACTAAACTGTGTGGATGGAGGAATCTCCCGCTGGGCCAAGCTTCAGTATCTTGCTAGGTCAGCCCGGCTGGCTGTCAAAATACCTGAACAATGCCTGCGTCCAATCAGATAGTTCAGGTTTTTTGACAGCCAGCGGGGCCGACTAGCAAGATACTTAACCTTGGCCCAGCGGGAGATTTCTCCAGCCACACAGTTTAGCGTAGATGGAGGAATCTGTTGCACTTTTTCCATCTGACCATAGAAAATCCGCAGATAATCTCTAGGTGTATGGCCAGCTTTAGAAAGTAACAAACACTGAGCAGTGTGTCCACTAGTCTGTTAGGTAGACCGGAATCTGGTTCTCAAGCTGTCAAGGGTTGCTGACCACTGCACTGGGTCTTTAAGCAAGCCTACAAGGTTATCGGTGCCTTACCTGAAAGGCCATTGTGAAATGACTGGTCTTTGTGTCCCGCACAATACTAGTGTTCATAGCAGACTGGATACCACACCGCCACTGCACGTATCCCATTGTGTTTTTGTCTAGATGCCGTGCCAGCATTGTCGTGAGGCCGGGCCTGATCCCCCGTGAGGAGAACTGCAATACACAGTTTGTAGTGAAGAAACTGAAAGGAAACAGAAAGTCATTATATTACAACTGGGAGGAAAAGACTGACATATAGAAAACACAAAAATAAATCCACGTTTTGATACCGATGAACAACCCATGACAAGTGTTCCCATCAACCAGACAGGGACGTGAGCACCCAAAGGAGGATCCTCCCATTCTGCAGTCTAGAAGAAGGGAGACTCTGGACCTGGCATGTCATGTGATTGAAGATTTGGGAAGGTAAATGGGGATTTTGGGGGGATTGGCTGGAGGGGGGTAGTCTGGGTAAATTTAAATTAAAAGGGGGTTTTCACAGAGTTAAAGCCCAATTGAACATTCACTTTACATCCGATAAATACATTCCAGGTCCATTAAAACAAGGTCTGCAAAGTGCAGTTTTCTTTAGAATATAGACATAACTTGAGAAGGACCCTTGCTCTATGTGGAAGCAGTGGTCTCTCTGCAGTTTGACACGCCCCCTTCTGAGTAAGGTCTGAAGCACTGCAATCATGCTGATTGGAGAGCTCTAGCTCCACCTCAGCAGGGGGTGTGCCTTACCTCTCCAGAGACCACTGCTTCCACACAGAGAACAAGGGCCACCTCTACACCATGCTGGCAAGGGACAGGCATTTCTACTCTGGCTCTAGCAGTTAGCTAAAGAAATGGAACTTACAGACTTTCGATACACCAAGAAATGTAATTAGCTGATTTAAACTAAAAGTTTACTTGGGCCTCAAGCTTAACGCCTTACCGACCAACCCACACATGTATGCAGTGGCAAAAAGGCCACCTCATGTAGAAGTCCACAGATTTGTGCTGGATGCACACTGAATGCGTGCTCCCAACACAGTGGCCAAGTTCCGGGTCACTTTTTACAATTAGGAGAAAGGGACGGCCTCCTAATCGTGTGGTTGGCTGCCACTGTGATCATATGACTGGAAACCCATCCCCAGCTCCCGCCATTAAAGAAGAACTCTGGATAAATCCCAGCCTTACCCTTGCAGTGGGGCTACCAACACACTGCAAGGGTTAAGTGCTCTTTTTGTCTAGGGAGATCAAATAATGCAGATATACTCCCCTGATCTTTGGTCCCGCCGGGCTGCTAGACCTTCCCCACAGCCTATTCTCCCCTGGGCTCTGGCAAGACCTTCCCTACAGCCTCTTCTCCCCTGGGCTCTGGCAAGACCTTCCCTACAGCCTCTTCTCCCCTGGGCTCTGGCAAGACCATCCCTACAGCCACTTCTCCCCTGGGCTCTGGCAAGACCCTCCCTACAGCCACTTCTCCCCTGGGCTCTGGCAAGACCTTCCCTACAGCCTCTTCTCCCCTGGGCTCTGGCAAGACCTTCCCTACAGCCTCTTCTCCCCTGGGCTCTGGCAAGACCTTCCCTACAGTCTCTTCTCCCCTGGGCTCTGGCAAGACCTTCACTACAGCTTCTCTTTCCCTGGGCTCTGGCAAGACCTTCCCTACAGCCTCTTCTTCACTGGGCTCTGGCAAGACCTTCCCTACAGCCTCTTCTCCCCTGGGCTCTGGCAAGACCTTCCCTACATCCTCTTCTCCCCTGGGCTCTGGCAAGACCTTCCCTACAGCCTCTTCTCCCCTGGGCTCTGGCAAGACCTTCACTACAGCTTCTCTTCCCCTGGGCTCTGGCAAGACCCTCCCTACAGCCACTTCTCCCCTGGCTCTGGCAAGACCCTCCCTACAGCCACCTCTCCCCTGGGCTCTGGCAAGACCTTCCCTACAGCCTCTTCTCCCCTCGGCTCTGGCAAGACCTTCCCTACAGCCTCTTCTCCCCTGGGGCTCTGGCAAGACCTTCCCTGCAGCCTCTTCTTCCCTGGGCTCTGGCAAGACCTTCTCTACAGCCTCTTCTTCCCTGAGGTTCTGGCAATCTAAGGACTGTCAACATCATCACATCTTATGCAGGTCTAATGGAGTTCTTCAAGTAAGCACTGGCGACAAGGGGTTAATTTGATCCTGCAACATTGATCGGAAGCAATTAAACGGTAGGGAAAACAAGAACTTCAGGTCATAAGCAGTTGTTTCTTCCGACAAGTGGATCAGTATCCGTAATGGTCTTAAGTACCAGAACCTTGTGTTCCTCATATACAATTAGTAAGCCGTTGTGAGATGTGAACCGACATTCAGCCTCCGCAAGTTGAAGAGCTTCTGGTGAACGATCTTCCGTCAAGTCACGGGATGACACTTCTGACATTTTTTAATGCATTTGTATTTTTTTTCTTATTATTTTATCCTCTGCAATTTCCGCCCGGAAAACAATACAATGCTCTTTAATCAACGGGCAGTCAGGGGCGCACAAGCAAACAGATAGTTTATACCGAGTCGATTTAAATAATTTCAATAATCGCCACGTCCCTGGAGAGCTTACACAGTAAATAATAAAAAGGACGCCTAGATAACGACGCTGTCTGTCAAATATATCACAGACACGCGTCACTGTGTGGAATTATATTGCCTCCTACAGACGGGAAGCTATATTCTCAAATCTGCTTGATTTGTAATTATTTTTATGTGGAAAAAAACGCAGCAAAACACGTTTATGGCTGGTAATTAGAGAGATACTTTTTATAAGTAATGGATTTCTGTTCCCTTCTGTAAAGTGCACCTATCACTTATAAGGTTCGGAGGCACCAATAAAGTTTAATGCAAAATTCCACAAAAATATATCCAAGTGTATATATACGATTGCTATATAGTGCTATTTAACCCATCCTGTAATTATTATCTAAAATCCCATTTTCATTTCAACAGGCAGCAGTCTATGGTGACCAAAAATGTTAACTTTACCCCCAGGGGATTCTCACTCCCCCGTTTCTCCCTGCTTGGGGAGAAGTTTCAGGCATCCCCAGCAGCAGACCCTTGGAAATACACTTGTCAAGAGTGCAGCACATTTACAGAGGTGCTGGGGATGCAGGGTTTCTCTTATTACGTTCTCAAACAATTCATCCCCATACAGCTACCTCCTCGTGTATCACTGGCCCCTCCCTTTTAGATTGTAAGCCCTCAGGGCCAGGGCACTCCTTACCATCTTGTCTTAAATTGTATTTGTAATGTTCTCCTTATATTGTAAAGCGCTGTGCAAACTGTTGGCGCTAAATAAATCATATATAATAAAATTACAAGACTAGAGATGATCATACAGACCCCCCCC